ATATATATATATATATATATATATATATATATATATATATAAAACTTCCAATGGTTATAGAATCCCCCATTATGTAGATCCATCAAATTTTGTTTAATTACTTCCCTATTGTTAAAAATGTATTGTTTTCTCAATATTGTGTTATAGGCTATGATGCCACATAAATATGTTTACATGTGACTAACTCTGTATATCTCTTCTTATTTCCTTTGGGTGATTTCTTAGAAGCGGAATTTCTGGATCAAAGGGTAAATTTTTAAGATTTTTACAATAAGTATTCCAAATTGTCCTACTGGAAACTATCTATTTACATCCCTATCCACAGTGCTTACAGTGCCTCACAACACAGGGCTTTAAAATTTAAGATTTTTTTTGTCAGATGTGGTGGTACACACCCTAATCCCAGCACTCAAGAGACTGCAGCAGGAGAATCACTGTGAGTTCAAAGCCAGCCTAAGCTATGTAACAAGAGCTTTTCTCAAAATATCAATAATTAATTACTTAATTAAAGTTTTTGATAATTTGATGGGAAAATGGGCAAAAAATTGATTTCATCTGCATTTCTTTATTATTAGAGACAGACCTCAAGGTGTTTATTAGTTATTTGTGCATTTCTTATTGTCTATTACTTGCTTATTATCTTTACTTAATATTTTGGCATTTGCATACTTTTATTGATTTATAAAAAATTTTTTGTATAATGGTGGGAACAGTATGCTGCCAATATTATTCAATAAGTTTCTGTATTATAAATTAATTTTTTATAGATATATGCATCTGCCAAGTGTTCTTGATAAAAAGATCCAATTCATAATCTTATATTTCTTTTCAGTTAGCAGTTTCATTTTAATGTACAACTATTTTATCCATATTGATCTATGATAGCAAATAAGAACCTAGTGTGGTTTTTATTTAAATAATTAATGATTTGTCTTGACATTGTTTATTACATATCTTTTTTCAAATTGGTTTGTAATGTCACCTTTATATTTACTAATGATCTTTTATTATATTATCTCTTCTTAGCCCTCTTTGATTCAGTCTGTACTTCTGTCAGCGTCACACTGACTTAAATATTATACCTTTAGAATACAATGTAATATGTAGACAGCTCCCCCGAACCTCCCACAACTATTTTCTTTTTTCAAAATTTTTTTCTTTACTCTCATTTATTCTTCCAGATAAAAATCTGTTCTCAGGGCAGGTGGTTGAGCTCAGTGATTCCACCACCTGCATCGCAAGTGCAAGGTCCTGAGTTCAATCCCCTGTACCAAAAAAAATAAAAAAATAAAATCTGTTCTTCATTTTAAAGTGGTACTCTGAAGAATAGCAGATACAAATTAGAAAGAAATTTGAAAAATAGATTAAGGCAGGATAAGATTTATAGCCATGTCATATTTACAAGCTGAGCTGATGATTTTATTTAGAGATGTTTCCCCTTATCTGGATCTACACTAGAATTAATTATCCTCTCTTGATGTATACTAGAACCAATTATCCATCACATATATTAAGATGGTAGACTAGCATAGTAAATATTAATATTACCAGAACTATGTCATTTCAGTCAGTATTTCTGACTTCTTCCCCTCAAACTTTTCACCAATGCCATCAGAGAAAAGCCAAGGGAAAAATCATTAAATCTCTCTCTCCTATCTCCTCTCTCCCTTTCCCCCCTCCCTTCTCCATCTCTCTCTCTCTCTTTTGCAAGGAAAACAACAAATCCCAAAACCGTTTATTGATAAAGCCAGAGACCCGTGAGTGGTGCATAATCTTCTTGTTAGAAAATATTTCGGAAAAAAGTCAAAGGCATATATCAAGCATTTATGTGCTTTTCTTTAGAATTAAAGAAATACAAAATAAAAGAACAAGCTGTAGAGCTTCAATTGAAAAAGCACTGCCTGTGGTAAAATAATGGGGTTGAATCTGAAAAGACCATCTGTCAACATCCACTGCACCCATCAAAGAAGGAATCTCTTCTACAACACCTCTGGCCAATAGACAGTTTTCTTCTTTTATGAATAGGCATCTCTCTGACCACCACCTAACTATTGGAGGGAAAAACCTAAAAATAGAAATTAGAAATTATTCAACAAAATGACACCACATTTGTTTAAAGGTAAACGATCTGGGAATCAAAATTACAACTGTAGAAATAATTGTCGCTATATTTATTGACATTACAATTTTGGGTGTTCCAAGGTAGAGCCTTTTGTGTAAGAAGAAACACAACCATCACCATCAATATGAGCAAATATTTATGTGGCACAGACTAAAAATCAGACTGAATAAAATGAGAAATTTAAAGAAGCCCAAGACAGAGGCTTTGTTCCTGAGGAACTTACAATCTAACTGACTGGTCAGGGCACATAGGAGGTCATGCAAAATCAATGCCAAATTAGTATAAGAAAAAATAAATCTTCACTGTGTGTTCTGGGAACCAATTCCTTTGCAGCTCCAGTTTGCTTCCTATTCTTTATTTTCCTTTTGCCTGAATGTTCTGAGTTTTTTGTTTATTTAATTTTGCTAAATGATACATGTCTTGGTGGGGTACTTTCTCTGAGAGATGAGGTAGAGGTGCTTGTAGGGAGTACAAAGAAGCAGTCACGAGCTGGGATGAAAACAGCTCATCCAGCAATACCTGTAAAGTCCCTGGTCTGGCTCAGAGCCTTAAGCCTGCAGCCTGCTGCTCTGCCTTCTTCTCAGTCATTGCTCTTACTGGCATCAGATTCTTTGGCAGTATCATATTCACTTTGCAAATATTAACCCTTTTGCTCTAAATTCAGTTGTGAAAAACTGCATCACGGTGGAAATAGGGTTCCTTTACACCAAAATAAACTAGGTACTTTAAAATATTTAAAATCAAACATGAAAACATTGCAGTACAACTTTTCAGGACTTTCCCTTGTCTAATTTACTTTTGATTTACCACGTCGCATTTTGTAAAAGGATTTGTATTCCTACAGTGTGCATGACATCCACATGGTCCACAATCAATATCAAATGAAAGACCTAACTGGTTCCCTAGTCCTCTGCCTACTAAAATAGTGCTGTCTAATCAGGCATCTCCCAGCAGGAAACAGGCCTTCCTACAACAGGAAGCATAGGAAAGAGAACTGGAGACAGCAATCCCAGGGGCTTTTTTGCCAGAAAGGACAAAATGGCTCTTCTGGCAACTCCCAACTCAGGAAATCACTGAATTAAGTAGTCAATCTGCAGAGTAATTTAGTATGTCATCTGCTTCCTGGCAACAGATATTTGGAAGCATTTATATTTTAATTCAACTCTGTCATCATAGGAGTTAGAGCTACTTCTCTCTAAGGACCTCAAGGTCAAAGATGTTTCTGTTTCTACAAAGCCAGTTCTTTTAGCATCCTCCTCCCTTTCCAGGTCCCAGTGATCTTGACTCCCCTTTGATTTCTGTCTGGGTCAACCAAACCCTTGTCTTCAGAGTTAAATATAAGTCACAAGTGAATGGGCAGAGGTCCTTGCAGTGGCTTCCCTGGAAAATATACTAGCAAGGGTGCAAAAGAATAAAGACATAATTGCATGCCCAAGAGTTGAAATAGTGTTGTTCTCTCCGGGGAAGAGGGAATTGGACAGGAGGTCACTAATCTGCTTTGTCATGGATTTTTGTGTGTGTGCTGTTGTATAGTCTCCCTCCCCTCTCCTCCATCTCTCTATTTTAAGAGTGAAGTTAACAAACACCAGTCATCTTCCTCATTTGCAGACAGTAGAGATGGGCAATGCCTGCAAGTCAGGCGTTGTGCCCTGGGGAGACCTGTAAACACATGTCCTGGGTGATAAGAATTCTGTACAAGAATAGAGCAGTTTCTTACATCTGGTAAACATGTGTCCACAAAATACCTAAAAGTAAAGCATGTAAACTATATGCAGCAGGACCATGCAGCCCTAACTCTATATATACATCTGTGAGTCCTTGCCACTTCAAGCGGGGGTAATAAACATGACGAAGTTAATGATCTTGTGTGGGGCAGCAGTCACTTTGCTCCTGTCTTGGCATCAACTCTCTTTATCAACAGGGTTAAGAAAAGCGTGTCCTGACATCCTGCGTAACAGAAGACAGATGTCAACTAAATACCCTGAAGCATTGCTTTTGGAGTCTCCCAAGGGTCAAGTCCTATATCCTCCAGCAAAAGCTAAAATGAGCTTTTCACATGTGTTCTTGACTTTGGTCTCACAACAACTCTGTAAAGTCAGAAGAGTTATCCCCGTTGTACAGACAATTAAAATGGGGTTTAAGGAGGTTACGCATATTTCCACAGTTTATAGAGATCCTAAGGGGTAGAGTTGGGGTGTTTAATGTTTGATCCCAAAGTCCATCTTCTTCCATTAGATTATGCCACCTTCTATGTTCTGTATGCTATTCT